ATCTTAAAGGTTATTATAAATTATTGCAGGTGTTTTTAATATTATTTTATCATTATATTTTCATTCTGTAACAACGTTCAATGTGCCAAAGCCCGATTGCAAGAAGGAAGTAGAATCTACGGTTGACAGCATGTCTGGAAGTCAGAATATTAATGATTTGATGAATATATCTTCATCATTATTTACTGACCCCCTCTTCTCAAGTCTGTCTAAAAAACGTGTTAGTGAATCTATTAGCAAATCATCTAGTAAGAAAGTGAAGAAGCAAGTATCAAAGAAAGATTCTCCTACGTTATAAAGACTAATTAAAGAATTGGGAACTGACGTTCCAGAGAAAACTATGCTGATTGAACCAATATCTGAATTAAATGAGAACTCAATCAATTTTTTAGCTTTGTATCAAAATATAATCAATGCTGAAGAAATTAGTAAAAAAATGATGCAAGAAGTCATTCGTCACTATTTCTATTTTGGAAAAGCACTCGAGAAGCGATTCGATCAATATAGAAAAAACAATCCTAAATGTACGGCTCAAGGGTTAGTTAATAATGATGTTAGAGCTCAGATCCCCAAATCAGTTAGTGAAAGCTTACTTCGAAAAACAAAGGAAAGGGCCCAGAAGATTTATGATATCTTTAATGAGATCGGGGTTGAAAAAATCAAACGAATTCAGTCTTTTACTGCTACAACAATAGCAAATATATCCCAAGATGACATTGATTTTGTATTAGCCAAACTTTCGATAATTTATGTCAATTTTAAAAAATAGAGCCAAAACCTCACTACTCTGTAATAATAATTCATTGTAAGGTCACGTTACATTATAACAAGCTATTACAATCTATGAAATAAAATTTAATCGTGTTAGTATAAATGCGCCTAATTTTTTATTTCGTGTTTCATTAATAATTTAATGTGAATCTGATCATAACTATGATTTGCCGAAGGCAGTCACACAGTGACTATGCATATGACATAGAGCAACCCCATGTAATCACAGGAAATGTTTTATACAAAAGCAGATTTTATTTTTCTAGTAGTGTTATAAAATTGATAATCTATGCTTTCGTTGTTATCTCGATTCCAATTTCATTTGGAGAGAACATTTGTATAAATTGAGTATAAATTTCTTCTCGTTCTTTCATCAGATCATTGAGCCATGTGGTACTTAAACCACTCTTTAGTATATTGTGACGTAATAACTCTTCGCCAGTTAGTCTTTTCCGATCTGTTAAAAATTTATAATATTTTCTAGTATCTTCATTCCTTTTTATTTCTCCACGATAAAGGCGTATGTCTCTTTTCAAGTCAGCAGGAAAATACCTCATGGTTCATTTTTTTTTCTCAGCCTCAGTAATGACCGAAAATTTCTCGAGATCTATTTTATGTTTGATGGCATATTGATAAATCTTATTTGGACTAGTTCCAGAAATTGAGGTGTTACTGATTTTGTTTGGTATCCTTACTTGAGTTTCCAGTAAGCTCTGTATGGTAATTATAACTTTCTTTTGATCAATACGAAAAGGACAATTAAGAAAATAATGATCATTTTTATCTAAACAGCTCCAATCACCCCATATATCTAAATGTGTATGCACCTCGTCACATATCGGATATTCAGCTTTCAAGTTAGTATATTTAAATACATCTCGATGTCATGCATTAGAATTGGTATATGTCAAGAAAGGGAAGCGTTTATGTATTGTATCATGGATTATATCTTTATCTTCTGGAAATTTAGAAATTTTGATAACACAGTCATGACTCATATAATCATCTGCGCCCTCTTCGATTTGGAAAGTTTCAGAGTTTATCCAGGGATCGAGTCCAGTTTTTTTCTTATATCTTTTACAAAATCTAGAATGAATTTTATCTGTCAAAATACTTGGCAATTCTGTCAATTTAGCTTCCCATTCCAAATATTCGGGAGTTAATGTTTTATGACTTGTAGAGTCGCTGTTACAGAATGAAAATATAATGATAAAATAATATTAAAAACACCTGTAATAATTTATAATAACCCTTAAAATA